TCCGTTATCCTTGACGAAATGTCAAGGTTGCAATGCTCTTGTGGCAAAATATAAATGCCCACGTTGCAGATTTCGTACATGTTCTCTTACTTGTAGTCGCAAACATAAAGAAATTGCCAAATGTAATGGAATTAGATCAAAGTCACATTATGTGCCTCGTGAGCACTATGGGTATCAAGAATTAATGTTAGGTTGTCATTTTTTTTACACAGTCAATCTATATTTCGTTCAATTTAATCGTTAAAATTTCTTTTCCCAGATTATACTTATCTTGAAGGAGTTTCACGTGCAGTTGATGTTAGTGATCGGTTGTTGTCTGAAAAATATAATTTTGATACCGATCAGGAAAGCTATAAACGATATCATCAAAATCTTGTTTATAAAGCAGCACATCGCCGTGGAATCAATTATTTCTCTATGCATCGAGGAATGCAAAGGAACCAACTGAATACGTCTAGATTCACTTAGTATGCTTGATATTTTTTATATTCCATTTACAAGAATTTTTTTAATAATGAATTCTAATTTAGAAACTTCATATATAATATAGCAAAACGCTCACCATATTTTGGCAAGTTGAATGGATATTCCCGGAACTCGAAAATAAAACATTTTACAATAGGTAATTTGCATACAACATTTATCTTTACCATTATATTTATCTAAATATTTATACGTTATTCGGTAAAACAGAACAAGTGAAAAGTATGTTTTGTCAGAAGTGCTGAAAAAATCAATTATGCCGCAGTTGACTGATGATGAACGAAAATATTTTGCCGAAACGTGTTCTGAAGACTATGTTTTTTTGCTCAAAATGGAGAAACAAACTGTATGCTATTTATTTTTACGTGATTTCTCCCGTCAAATATTGATTGATATTAATTAAGCATCTGTTTTTTTTAGTCGAGCAATAAAACTTATTTTCGCTTAAGTCCCAATTCCACTTTACTTAATTCGTTAAAGGGTAAGTGTATAATAGAATTTCCTACGATTTATGTATACAAAGAATCGCCAAAGAATCCTGAATTCGAGATTTCATGTGAAGAAGTACGAATATTGGGTAAAAATGATTGCGAAACAAGTAAAAGCATGATAATTCAAAGTGAAAATTTTAAAGATGATGATATAGATATAGAAATAGAAATTAAAGATGTTAATGACGATGAATTAAAGGGAGAATTGAGAATTGAAAGTGGAACTGATAGTGAAATTGAAAGAGATGACGGAACCAATAATGAAATAATCAAAGATGAAGATGAATCCGAGACTGAAAGTGAATGTGATGGAATATATATTGATGTGATTGGCAGGTTAAATCGTGATTACAATGATGATGATGATGATGATGACGATGACGACGACCACCATGATAACGATGATGATAACGATTCATTAATAAGAAATAGATGAATAGAATTTATTAGTTATGCATATGATATAGAAAGTGACAATATACAAATTGATAAAAATTCCAAATACAAAATGAACATTACCATAATTTATGTTGCAAGACGCTAAATTTTTTAATTTTTTGTATAATTAAAGTATGGATTATCTTAGAAACGAATACTTTTTAAAAGATCATATTTTTTTAATTCCGTGAAATTTTACTTCAATAAGAATTTATTATATATATCATTAAGAAAAAATAAAAAATCTAAGAGATATAATTAAACCAGCTAATCAATTTGTCTTCTCCGATAAAATATCCCAATATACTTTCTGCTCATACGCAAAATGACTTTTTCCGCCATAATTTACTTCTAACTGCGACGCATCAATAAACGTATCTAAATTCACCCATTGTGTCTTGTTTGCGGCTTTCTCGGGTTCCAGCAAATTTACAAACTGTATTTTCTCTTTAGTGATTGGATCAATGAAATTTCCGATTAATCTAAAAAAGGTCCAGAAGTACCATGGTCCTAATAGAATTATTCAGATAAATAATCACTCATATCAAATAAGTATTAATCTCAGATTAATCAATAGTATACCATTAATTACACACGCCAGTCCTAATCTTTCGGGGTAATGTGATCCCAAGACATGCATAAATTCCTTTGCAATACCAAGACCGGGACTATTTCGCGCAGATGTTTTATCAAAATCTACAAGAATTGTGATCGTTTCCACATTTTCAGGCATCAATTTGATTGCTTTCTCGAACCAAAATACCACGTTACGAACTTGTGACGGTCCCGCCTTTGTATTCTCGTAACCAGGCCGTAGCACTAGAATTGGACGTCCATGTTTATCGAATCCGTGCAAATACATTTTTCCTGTTAAATTCTATTTACCAAGGAAAAATTGACATAAATTCTTTGGAATCAAATTATGATGGTTGATTCAACTTACCTCTTCAACCATCTCCCCTTCATCAATTTGGTCTGGCTTATACTCTCGTCGCCATTCTAAAGTGTATTTTATCCTTTCTTTAGCTTCAGAAATATGCCATTTTGAAGCACGTAAATATCTTTTTAAACAAGCTTCCGTTACCCATGCACGTTCATACGGATAATACGCGTCATCTTTTGGTAACAAGATGCTTTCGACATATGTTTCTAGTTCCTTAAAGATAGCCTTTTGTTTCTCATTCAACGGAGCGGGCAGAATAGGAGAATAGTATTTGGGTGGTGTTAGATTTGGTATAGTCGTCGAGGATTCTGTAGACATTTTTGCATTAGATAATAATTCTTGAATAAACGTGAAAAAACAACCCCTTGGCACATGTTGAGAAATATTAGCTGTGCGAGTATTGAGTAACATTAGCCGTTTTAAAAATTTCGCCCCGTCCTTGCACGTGAAATATTAAGATTATCAAGTCATAAAAATCTCGCATAAAAAAAAATGATTCTTTTTAAATCTACAATCTTTCGAAAAAATATTTCGCAGAAAACACGGCTAAAAATTAATAATATACGACGCGCGAAAATACATTATCCAAAACCACTTCCATATGAATATCAAGATGGTTTGCCACCACTTTTTACACAGAAGGCATTACACGTTATATACAACGAGTATCACCTTAATTTGATTCGAAAATTGAATGAGCTCGCAGGTCCTTTGTGCTATACATCATCTTTATCATAGAGAGCAAAAATGTGGATCTTTTAAATTTATAATTGTCCAAATATTATTACTTTCAGGGGCAGAATTTGAAGAATCATCGGTGATCGATATAATTGAAAAAACCGCACAAGTCCCTTCGCAAGCTGTACTCTTTAATTACGCGTCACAGACCTTTAATAATGATTTTTTTTTACAAACCTTAGTCAGTATGCTAGTAAAGCTATGTACGTTATTTAAAAAATAATAAATGAATTAATTTCTATTTTTTTTACCTAGACGAATAAGCAAACGCGAATTAAGTATAAAATTTTCTCCAATCTAA